AGAATGAGATGTATTGTTCTTTTGACAATGCAGGACGGCAAAGTCACCATCGAACAAAATGTAATTGCTAGGTAATTAATTATACTATTATTTACTCTCTCTTTTTTTGCACTCCATGCTCATTGAGTTATCACCACTGGCAGTCAGGTCAACAATAAAATGTGTTACATTAGGGTGAAAAGAGAAAAGAGGATGTGATTTCTGTGACTGAGTTCCCACACACCATCAATTGCCATACCATGTTAGCTAACGAAAGAGAGGATTATGAGTAAGGAGCCCCAAGGATTGCGTCAAAGTTGGCTTTTGGGCAGTCCCAGTCCTGTTTCTTCCAGTTTGGGAGAAATACAGTTAAAACTGAATCTAACAAAGTTTATCATAAGAAACTACTGAAATTAATGACTAAGCAGCATCTTCCAAATTAAAGAAATCTGGTTTGTTATATTAATAAGCACCAAATAAAAATACCTGAATATCTGTAGTAGAAGAGAGTACTAGTAAGAAATAAATGGAAGCCGGAGATGACACAGCTCATTTTGATGCAGAGTAGTCTCGGCTTGTATTGTAAAAGGTTGAAGAGTCCTGCAAATTCTCGAAGGGAAATAACATTATAAACATCAAATGTTAGTCTAAGAACATTTGATGGAGACAAACAAGATAAATTGATCTCAGTGTCTAATACTGTGGAAAATCTAGAACATGCACAGTTTATTCGGAGATAGCCATAGTTTATCACTTCGTAATGAATTAAACATGTCCTATCATCTTTCCATAAATATTCCTGAAAATATTTCATTACATAACTTTGTTAATATTAATCAAATGTAATTTTTATAGTATCCAAGAAATCCTTAGGGACATTTTTAATCTTCCTTTCTCTTTCTGATAGGTGCCTATATATTCAATAAGTCACCAAATTATATTCATTTCCTCAATTCAGACACAGCTCTTATATGTCTCTCTTCTCACCACTCTAGTCCAAGCCTTCATCACAACCAACCAGAATTATTACAATAGACTCCTGACTGCACTATTTCCCCCATCGAATCCACATTATACACATCCGCTATATTAATATTTTTATATAATCACATTCGACTTCCCTTCTCAAGTATCTTCACGGCTTTCAGTCATATCCAGAATAAAGTCCTATCTACTCTGACTGGTTTGCATTGCCCTCCAGAATTTGGCTCCATACTGGCAGTCTAACCCTAATACCCAGCACTTGTCAAATATAAGCCCTGAATTTGGGTTAAGCTGTTTTTCACAGTGTTGTGTGGCCAATTCCATTTTGCGTTATTTCCTTGTGCTTTTCTCCCAGGCTGGAATTCACCAACACTCTTCTTTATATAACTAAATGTAACCACCCATTATACTCCAGCTCCTGCCCCTCCTTTTTCTCCAGGACATTTATTTGGCGTCTGAAAACATGTTTGCTGATTTTGTTTAGTTGTAAAATAGTTAATATGTGAATTTCTATGTCCTCTCCAAAATTAAGATATGACTCTTATTTTACTCTTCTTATCTGTATCTCTAGTATTCCACCTTGCATTCTGCAAGTAGTCAATAAATTAACTTGAAATATACAAAGAGGACCATAGTTAAAAAATGGTTGCCAAAGGCCCCATCTACTTAGACTTGATAAACACATAAAATTCACTTTTAATGACTGTTTTGCTTTTTATGGATTGTTTTGTGCTTAGACAATCTGTTTTCTAAACCCTTGGTCCCTAGCCATTTTGGCACCAGGGACTAGTTTAGCAGAAGAAAATTTTTCCATGGACAGGGGGATGGTTTTGGAATGATTCAAGCACATTACATTTATTGTGCACTTTATATTATTATCACATATTCACCATAATGTACAAACAGTGAGATCCCTGAGCTTGTTTTCCTGCAACTAGATGGTTTCACTTTGGGGTGATGGGATACAGTGACAGATCATCAGATATTGGATTCTCATAAGGAGTGTGCGACCTAGCTCCCTTCCATGTGCAGTTCACAATAGGGTTTGTGCTCCTATGAGAATGTAATGCAACTGCTGATCTGACAAGAGGTGGAACTGAGTTTTGCTCCCTTGCCTGCCACTCACCAAATGCTGTGCGGACCAGTTTCTAACAGGCCATGGACTAGTACCTGTCTGTGGCCTGGAGTTGGGGACCCCTGCTTTAAACCACAGCACACAATTTGCTTTTTAAAAAATTGCTAAGCAAATCTATTATATATATAAATTTCAGCTCGGCCTGACATTTCAATTATTACATATTATGAGTGAGTTGCATTTAATTTGAGTTTCATCATCACGAACTTATCAAGTGGATCTGTTTGATACCAATAATTACCAAGGGATTATGAATATTTCCATTAGGGAGTTAATCATTGCTTTATGTGGAATGAAGGAACAGTCATAAATAACCTGTAATACTAATGCCTTCTCTATTTTCCTGGATGAGAATATGAAACATTTAATCCACATAGAAAGAGGATCCTCATATTTCAAGAAGTTTCAATTTACTATTCAAGGCTTTCAATTATGTAACACTACAATGAGATAACTGGTAAAAATGTCAAGATTAGCATGTTTAAACTCATGATAAATATGCTCAACAGGATCCCCCAGAATCAAACCTTCCTGCAAGGCATTGTTTATTGTGTTTTCAATTGGCAAAATGTTAATAAATCAAAGACTGAAGATGAACAAAGGGCAAATGAGGTAAGATTAAATCATGTCCCATTGTTTAAACAAAAAGGCAAGCTTATGCCAACACTAACAGAAACACTAATATGTTTTTGTAGTCAAACTTCTGTCTGTAATTACATGCCATATCAACCATCATGCTGGAACAACAATATTGAAAGAGAAATCTTTTGGAAAAACTGTAAGCCCATGGACAATCACAAGATTTTTATCTTCAAGAAAAAAAAATAATCCTTTGAAAATTCTATAGACAATAACAAAAGCATAGCTTATGGATAGTTTTAATGGGAAGAAATAGATCTGAGGGATAAAGAAAACGTGACAGAGTTTTAAAATATCTATATGGTTATATTTCTTAATGGATGTCTATGAACCTTGTGTTCACCTCAGGTCTCTGCATTTTCTATGGGAAAATAATAATCTACTCAGGAGGACTTAGCTAGTGACAACATATTTCTAAAATGGGCTTAAAATCTTTTTAAAATGCTAAGGGAAAACAGTTAAATGGTTAAAGACAAAATTCTATTTCTTTGAATTACAAATTTATGTATATCTTTTGCTTTTTCATTTAGTAAGAACAACCAACTTAAAAATTATAAAGACAGTAAAGATGCATATCAAGGTGGCAAATATTAAAGTACACTGTGAAAGTGCCATAATAATTGTTATCCCCAAGTATCCACATGTAAACAGTATTGAAAGCAACTAATACTGTTTGCTACCAGGACAACGTTGTAAAAAAAGAAAAAGTAGAAGTACTTCTCATTAATGTCTTATATAAAATATCTCCATTATTATCTGAGTCATGTATAAACACACTGCCATCTAAAATCAGAAAATAACTTCTGAGTGTACAGACAAACTTGCAGTAATACTGTGACTGAAAAATGGGCCATAAGAATAATGGCTGAGAGAGAGATGGTGACCATGTAAGAGATCTGTCTAATTTAAATGTAAATAAAAGAGATGCATGGCCAGAACTGGTATATACCCACAAGGAAATAGGATGGAGTATGAGGGATGTAAAAGAAATCAATAAAGGTGGAAGAGAGCAAATGGTTATAAACAACATAGTCATGAAACTCAAGAGTCGAATGGGAGAGTTGGAAATATTTCCTCTTTGTTTTGAGCTACACACACACACACACACACACACACACACACACACACACTTAATAGCTACTAAGTGAAATACATTTGTAATCTGAGCTGGGTAAATTTTAATGTGAATTGTAGTTCTGACTTTGCCACAATTACCTCAGAGGATTGTGAGGATCAAATATAATAGTTGTGAAAGTGCTACATAAACTGTAAAAGGCTATACTCATTTAAGATAGATGGTATCCACTCAAAATATAGACAAAATTATCTCACTTCAGCTCTAAGAGTGAGCCAGCAATGAGTTCTCTAGGGCATAGAAGGGAGAAAAATCTCCCTCTGATCTATGTCCAGATTGTCTTGGAAGAACAGGCTGTATACTCATTGCATGAGCTGGCATTGAATGCAGAGCAAATACATTAGCAAACTGGTCTAATGGACCTGTTGTCAATGACACAAAAGAACTGTGTGGAGAAAAATCCTTCCTAATCTGTAGAAGAAATAAATTCCTTTTCCTCTTTCTTAACCTTTGCAAATGTTTATTGCCTACACAATCCTGATATTAATTTGTGCTAATTTCTCCACTTTGAGGAGGGAAAACAAGGGGTAGGAAAGGAAACGAACATTCACCAAAACATGCTGAAACATATACAACATTATCCTTTCAATACAACCTACTGGGGTAGAAAAATAAGTCTAGGATGTAACACATATATTCACACTGCTATGACCATTTTACATTACAACTAGCAAACTGAGGCTTAGTGAGACTAATAACTTATATAAGGCCAACTTATTCAAAAACACAAAGCAAACATTTCACTCTGGGTCTGAGTGGTAACAAAAGCCCTTGTATTTTCCACAACAAAAACACACCGTCTCATCATTTAAAAAAAAAAAAAAAAAAAAAAAAAAAAAAAAAAAAAGAATGATAAACAGCTAAGAAGAACCAAAACCTATTTTTAGCTTTTTTTTTTGTTGAGCTCTACCATTAGACTTTCAATATTTTTGTACTGTGTAAAATTTCCATTGTTTAATGTAAAACACCAAATCCTCAATCTCTCATTATTTAATGCTAGAGGGCTCAAACCGCTTTTCCTTACAAGTACAAACAATAACTAATAATTGCAAAATGCCCGAAATCTTTCAAGAAAAAGCACAAAAAACAAAAACAAACAAACAAAAAAAAACTGAAAAGACCTTATGAGCAATCTACTCAAACCACCTCAATTTATAAATAAGGAAATTAAGGCTCAGATAGGTTAAGTGACTTGCTCAGGGTCACACAACTTGTCAGTTCCAGACTCAAGGTCAGAATTTAGATCTCCAAACTTGTAGTCCAGGGCTGTGCTCTTTTTGCAAACCACAAATAAATGACTGCACTTAAACATTTAGTCCAGAATATCCTCAAAATGGACTGTAATAAAAGTAAGCCACATGGCGAGGAATGAATATAGAGTCGGTTCATACCAAAAATGAGCAGCTGCCAGTCACAGTGATAAGATCTGTTTCTTTCTGAGAACCATGGTTTCCTGCCGCATTGGGGAATCCGAACTGGGCCTCTCCCTCCCGTCCAAAGAAGTCAGAGTCAGGATGTACGTTCCACTCCGCTTTGGTTGGCGTCAGTAGTTCTGAGACACTGTTTTCACAAAGGGTGCTCGAAGGAGTCAGAGCGTCTGTGTCCACCGTGAGCTTACTGCTGGGTGTCAAAGCCTGGGGCTCTGGACTGGAGTTTTTCACGGCCAAAGAGCCCAGAGATCCCAACGGCCCCACAGTTACACTTGAGACCTCATCCATATCTAAGGGGCTCTGCTGAAAACCCGTGGCGGCCGTTCCAAAAAAGAGAGAGGTATCCAGACTTTGAGGAGGGTCGCTGGTGGCCATCAAGGCCGGAGGGTCCACAGCCTGCCCTAAGGAATTATTATTATTATTATTATTATTAGCGGGGAGGTTCCCCGCCAGAGTGGAGCTCACGGAAGCCACGTCAATAGTCAAGATTCCCGAGTTCACCAATGCCGTGTCCAGCACTGCAGCAGAAGTGCCGTCAGGCACATCGGAGAAGAGAGACACTATCTCTGCATCGCTGAGATCATTCTGTCCCTGGCTGGTAAGTTCACTGCTGGGTGTAAGAGAATTTGCCGCTTCCAGCTGAGCTAAGAGATCCTGGCCCACCTTGTGCCTTTTGGCCATGTGCGTCTTCATGCTGTGCTTGGATGTGAAGAGTTTGTTACAAGTGGAGATCGGGCAACGGCTTTTCCAAGTGTCCACATCCTGCAGGTGTTTCTTGGAGTGAATATAGAGGCTACTGCGAGCGGAGAACCTGGCACAGCAGCCTTCCACAGGGCACACGAAAGGCTTCGTGCCCAGGTGGGTTATGCTGTGGCCTTTCAGATGTTCGGCCCTCGTGAAAGACTTCCCACAGCCTTCCACGGGGCAGGTGAACCTCCGGTCATCGTCGTGCTTCCTTTTGTGCCTTAAGAGTTTGGACATGCTGGTGAAGTTCCAGCCACAGCCATCAAAGTCACAAAGGAAAGGTCTCTCGCCGGTGTGACTCCGCAGGTGAATTTTCAGCCGGCAGGCCTTGTCATACTGTTTGCTGCAGCCAGGAAAAGAGCAGGAGAAGAGTTCCTGTTCCCTGAAATGGGCGCGGTTATGGGAAAACAGAGCACTCACTGTGATAAACGTCTTCTTGCAGCCGGAAAACGCGCACTGGTAAGGCCTCTCGGGCTCGAAGTGGCTGCGCTGGTGGGCGCTGAGTTTGGCCTGCGTGGGGAAACTCTCGTCGCACACTTCGCATTTGAACGAGTTCTCCTGCTCGTGGCCCTTCATGTGCGCCTTGAGGTTGTACACGGTGGTGAAGCTCTTGCCGCAGCCCTCCGCCGGGCAGCCGAAGGGCCGCAGTTTGTCGTGCGACTGCAGGTGCCTCTTGAGCTTGTAAGAGGTGGTGAAGGTCCAGCCGCAGCCACCCAGGGGGCATTTGAAGGGCCTCTGGCCCTGGCTGCTGCTGTGCGTCAGTAGGTGCACCTTCAGCTGGTGCTTCTTGGCGAAGGTTTGCCCGCACTGCGCCTCGGGGCACAGGTACAGCACCACGCCTGGGGCCGAGCCCAGCGGTCCGCGGGGGCCCAGGGCGGCGGCCGGGCCCTCCGCCTCCTCCTCGGGCGCCGGGGCAGGCGCGGGTTCGGCCGACTCGGCCAGCAGGAGGTCCGGCGGCAGCTCAGGGCAGTCACCGGACTGCGCGGCCTGCGGGAGCGCAGCCTGCGGGAGCCCGGCCTGCGGGGCGATCAGGCACCCGGGCTGCTGGGCAGGCGCGGCCCCCGGGTCCCAAGCGTGTGGTGGGGGCGTGGCCAGGGTGAGGACGCCGTTCTCAAAGCGCAACAGCAGGTCCTGGTTGTGGATAGTGACTGTGCCCGCGAAGGCCGCGGCGGGGCCGGGGGCGGAGATGGGGGCCGGAGTGGAAACCGCGGACAGGCAGCGAGGGCCCAGCGCAGGGCGGCCCCCGGCGTTCGCGCCGCTCTTGCTCCCCTGGAGCCCCGGGCCCGCCTCGGCCTCCTCCCTCAACACAGGCCCTGCGGCCTGACCCGAGCCCGCGGTCTCCACGTCGCCACCCACCGGGTCAAGCAGCACCAGGAAGAAGTCGTCGCCGCCGCTGCCGCCGCCGCTAGGTTGATCCGGCCTCGGCGCCAACAGGCTCGGGCCCGGGCCCCGTGAAGCCGTGCGGGCCTGCTCGCGCCGCCGCCCGGGCCCGCCATCTTGGGGGCCTCGGAGCAGCAGGAGGCGGCGCGTGGGGACCTGGCCCGCCAGCGGGTCAGGGCCTCGGTGGACCCGGCCGCCGCCCGCGGGGATACCGCCGCTGCCGCCGCCCTGTAGGGTCCCGCGAGCCGGGAGCAGCTTCGGGATTTCCATCTCTGCGTCCGTGAGGCTCGGCTGGAACCGGAGCCGCGGCGGAGGCGCGACCCCGCCCCCTGCCGCGGGCCCGAACACGTTCCTGAAAGGGAAAAAAAAAATGTGCAATGCGCAGAAACTGGCCCTATCAGATATTAAAACGTATTTAACGCCACGGTGATTTAAATATTCTGTTACTGGGTCTCTGGAACAGAACAGAAAGCCCAGAGGTCGAGCCTGGTATGCCTAAATACGTTCTACCATTAATATAACTAAGCAACTAAGGAGGTCTTCTGAGGTAATGGGGAAATGACGACAGCTTGTTCATTAACGCTGTGGAACACCTAAGTAGCTATCCGCTAAAAGCAATTTTAATCCGTGACTCATTGTATATACCCAAATAAACACACCCCGGCCCCTCCCAGTGTTAGACGTGTTGCTTCGTACTTTTTGTGTGTGAAAATTTGATTACGTTCTTGCATGTTCTTCACATGTACCCCAAAACCTAAAATGCAATTTAAAAAATAAATTTAAAAAAATTAAATAAATAAGAAAAAAAAAAAATGATTACGGACTGCCCAGCTGGCTGGCTGGCTGGCTGGACCGATGGATGAAAGATACTTCCTGAGAGAATAAACTGTCTCTGTGTCAGCATTAGACCACCATAGTGTTGGCATTTCTGCTGAAAGTGTCCTTCCCTTTCCCACCTCCCCGCGGGACAACTGCCATACTCACGATTGTCTTGAGCAGAGTCCTCGGTAAAATTTGCCACATAGTTCAATTTTTGTCTTGCTGATACAGAGATTACAACGAGTGAGCAATGTGGCCAAAACACCTTAGCACGGTTCAGTCTAGAAATGCAAAGCCTGGAGGATGAAACAATTTATACCGAAATCTGGAAAAAAAACCAGCCCACTCCAGGCTTCTCCTGATACAGTGCACAACCCAAACCAACTCTTCGCCCTTCCACCATCGGTTGTACCGTGATAAATTTCATGTCCAGGCTCAAAGCACAATGAGGGCCTTCCTCAGTTGACTCCGCATGCTCTAGCACATGGAGGCCTCTGGGCAGGAGTTCCGGTTAAATGTGTTGAGGTTAAACCCTCAGTCACCGCAATGGACTCTGTCGGGGACCGGTCCGGGACGGCACGTCTGCCGGGGGTCTCTCGACCTGCAAGAGGGTCCCAATACCTGGAAGAGAGCGTGCGCTTGAAGAAATAAAGACAGAAAGTACCGGGGTCTGGAGGACTGGGTAAGCCGTGCCTAAACAGCGAATTTTATTTTTCAAAGGCCGGGAATAAATACACTTTCTTTGCTCTGGTTTATGGCATTGCAAGAGGAAATGCAAATCTACACCTTACGTGGCCTGTACAATAGAGAAGTCAGATACGCAATCAGTGGTTGCAAGAGGAAATGCAAATCTATACCTTACATGGCCCATACAATAGAGAAGTCAGATACACAATCAGTGGTTGCAAGAGGAAATGCAAATCTATACCTTACATGGCCTATACAATAGAGAAGTCAGATACACAATCAGTGGTTGTAAAAAGTAACGGAATTTCCTGTGATCACAAAGCTTGTTTACATCCAGACATTATTCCTCATGGCTGCAGGTATTTCTGGTTTGATCTTGTTTTAGGACTGAGATGTGAAAAGGTTTTCTGGTTTTGCTCATCAGAATATCTTTTAACCAGATTCTCCTTTGTCTGCTCCTGACTCAACTTATCTCAACTCCCCCATTCAGGAGTCTCTGAAAGCGGTTCTTAAAGAAACAGTCATAAAGATTAAAAGCAGAAACTGGTTGCTGGTAGGGAGACACTCAGTCTAGCAGCACCGCAGAGTTTTAGGCCCAAACGATATCGTGGTTGATATTAGAAACTGATCAGTCATCTTTCAGTCCCTTCTTTCTGATAGCTCAACTGCCTCCAGTAGGAAACTGTGTTTGGGATCAAGCTCACCGTACAGTGAGACCCACACCTTTTGGGGGTCTCACACGGGAATGAATGTTCCCCACAGACTCTGCCAAGTAAAAGGCACAGACGATCATGTCCAATCGCCCTGGTGTACCTGCTCGCATTTGAGTGTGGTGGCCCAGTCCTGCTGGGCCTGCGGTGCCTAATGATCCTATTAACGGTGACGACATTCCTCCAATTTGTATGTCAGGAATGAGTTGGGAATTGACACAGATATAGGGTGAAATATCTGAGATGAGAAGACTTACAGAGAGATGACTAGATTGGCGGTGGTGGTGGTGGTGGTGGTGGGGTGGGGGCGAGTAACCCGTTGTTTAAATACTCCCAGCTCTCTCGCCCTCTTTTAATGACAGCGGACACTTGGTCTCTTGACTGGAAGATCAAGTTTTTCATCCATAACTATTCAAACCTCTTCAAAATTTCTACTCCACATACTTTTCTTTCTGGTACTTTTCCTGGAGGAAGCGTTTGTCACATCTGAGCTGTAGAAGAGTGCATAAACTGTATCTGTATGGTTTAGATTATTTCACAAAAGTAGACACCTGTGTAACCAGAACCAAGGTCAAGCAATAGGCCACTGCCAGCCTTCCGGAATACAACCACCATACTCCTCCCAATCACAACCCACATTCTCCTATACGGGTATAGTCATTGCCCTGACTTTGTAATAATCATTTCACTGCTTTACTTTATAGCTTTATCACTTTTGTACGCATCCCTAAACAATAGAGTTGATATGCAGTTGTCTAAATGAAATCGTAAGGCATGCTCCCTTTTATAGCTTGCTTCCGTCACTCTGTATTATACCTGAGAGACTCGTCCATGGTGTTCATAATAGCTGTAAGTAAGCACATCCTTTGTCTCCATCGTTGACTGTCGTTCCAGCATACGCTTATAGCAGAGTGATTGTGGTACGATTACGCCACTCCATTCTACAGCGGATGGACATTAGGATTGCTTCTAATTTTCAAGGATTATCATGAACATTCTTGCACATTTCTCATGGGACACATGTGTAAAAATCTCTCTAGGGTGTATATCCAAGAATAGAATCACAGGGCCATAGGGTATGGATATCCTCTGCTTTACTAGATGATGCCAAATTGTTCTCTGTAGTGGTTGGGCCAGTTGTCAATCCCACCAGCAGCACAGAGAGTCCCTACTGCTCCACATCTTCACCTACACCACGTATTGCCAGAATTTAAATGTTGCCAGTCTACTCGTGGGCAATACCCAAATTACTATTAAGCTTTTGCACATTTTCGTGTTTATGAGCCTTTTGGAGTTTCTAGTCTGAGGAAGGCCTATTCAAATTTACCTCTTCTAACCCATTCTATTTTTCACCTGGTACTTTCTGACTTGATGAGTCTGTTAAATATTCTAAATACGAGTCCACACCTGTGGCCAAAATATTCCCCGGCTCTGTTTGTGTTTTCCCTTGCATTGTGTTGTGTTTGGTGAGCAGAAGATCTTAACTATAATATAGTCAAATTCATCATTTTTCCTGATGGTTAGTGCTTTTTTAAGAAATCTGTTTTAATAAATCTTTTCTTTTCTAAGAAACCGTGGGCCATGAAAGCAATCTCTATATTTTCTTCTAAAATATGTATGCTATTGCCCTTCACAGGCAGGTCTTAATCCAACAACAATTGATGTCTGTTTGTGTATGGTGTTGAGTAGAGTTTATTTATTTATTTATTTATTTATTCATTTATTTATTTATGTGAATATCCAGTTTTCTCAGGAACCACTTATTGAAAATTCTGCCTTTTGCCAAGTGATGTACAGTGCCATAAATGAAGTATCTATACACATATGGGCCAGTTTCTACACTCTCTATTAAGTGCTCGGCCCCATTTGTCTGTTTTAAATACCACTGTCTTAATTACTAAAGACCGATAGTCAAGTTTGATATTTGGATAGGGCAAGTCAGGTCTACCTTGTTCTTCAAAAGTGTCTTGGCTAACTTTGGCCCATTTCAGTTCCACTTAAATTGTAAACTCATCATGAAAACTTCAACCAACAGCTAGTTTGGAGTTCTAATTCAGGTTGTGCTGAAATTGTAGGTTTGACCTCTCAGTATTGAATGTTTGATCCATGGTTGTGGTCTGTATCTCCTTTTAATAAGCTCTCCTTTGATGTGCCCAAATAACATTTTATATATTTCCCAGAAGGTAATTTTTTTTTTATCCTAGCCACGTCATAGCTTGTAAATCCTGTGTTGGAAATTTTCATTGTCTAAATTTGTAGCTGGTAAATAGGATGCAATTGGTTTTTGTTCATTAACATTTTATCCTACGGGTGTATAAACTCTTCTATTGATTCTAATAATTGGTCTGTAATACTCTGTAGAATTTTATGTACACTGTCATATCATCTGCAAACAGTGCCAGTCTTTCTTCTTCCTTTCCAAATATCTTATTCCTTTTTCTTGCACCACTGCTCGGTTCGGAACCCCACCCCCACCCCCAGCATACCATTGAATAGAAGTGGCAGTAGTGGACATCCTTACTTGATGCAGCTCTTAAAGAGAAAGCTTTCAGTGATTCTCTACTAAGAATAATGCTTGCTGGAGATACTGAGTTCTGTAGCAGTATGGATCCAGTCAGGAGATAGAAAGCACACAGTGATCTAGAAGGAGAAAGTTTAATATAAAGAATCATTAAACTATGAAAAAAGATCTTGTATAGCAGGCGTCCCCAAACCATGGCCCGCGGGCTGCATGCGGCCCCCTGAGGCCATTTATCCGGCCCCCCCACCACACTTCAGGAAGGGGCACCTCTTTCATTGGTGGTCAGTGAGAGGAGCACAGTATGTGGCGGCCCTCCAACGGTCTGAGGGACAGTGAACTGGCCCCCTGTGTAAAAAGTTTGGGGACGCCTGTTATATAGGATATAAGACAACTCTATCTGGGGTTTTCTGGGGCTGGGGGCAAGTACCCAAGGAAAGACAAATTTAGAATGAAAACTTCTCCCAAAGGCTGGATTTTACACCACATTGGAGAAGAACCCACTGGATGGCAGAGAAGTTCCACAGGTTTGCCAGTACCTGAGCTGCTCTGCAAAGCCAAAACTGGTCTACAGTCAGAGAGGAAGCAAGAAGGCACCCTTTGGAGCACGGTAGTATGGACGAGCCATAGCTCGTGTCTAGTATGTGGCTGTGAGGTAGGGGTTGGGGGTCCTGGCTCGGTTGGAGGCCTGAAGTAAACAATGACCCATGCACAGGATCAAGGTGGGGGGCTCAGTGTTGAGAGGGTTGCAGTACTGAAAGGATTACAGGAACCTGGTCGGGGTGTGTGTGTGTGTGTGTGTGTGTGTGTGTGTGAGTGTGTGTGTGCTGGGGGGTGGGGCTATGCAGCAAGTCAGCAGAGGGAAGCAGTGGACAAATGACTTGGAGTACAGGGTGTCCCTATCAAGAGGGCCACGGAAAGCTGATCATCAG